TGCATTGTTCAGTCAACTTTTTATAATCCTTTTCTTTTTGACATTTCAGTTTACTTTTACATTTTTTGTTTTACATGAGCTATCTAGCATTAGTCAACTACCAGTGGATAGAAAACAATAGGCACTGTGGGACAGGATTTTGTCTGCTGGGTTTGTTATCAGTTTAATGATTCCTTAGTTTTTCTGTCTTCTCATTAAAGAATATTTTGTAATGTTACTTTTGTTTGATTTTCATGGAGTTTCTGTGTCAGTAGGATATCTTTAGTTTGAGAGGGAAATGGATGATTTGCTATTTGTGTGTGCACTAAATATATGTGTGTATATATGCACACACACAGGCTACCTATGTTTTCATATGCATATATATGTTTTGTATCTGTTTAGGGCTTTAAGCAGCAAGCTCTTACAGTATCCACAGATCCTGAGCATCGCTTTGAACTTGCACTTCAGCTTGGAGAACTAAAAATTGCATACCAATTAGCAGTGGAAGCAGAGGTACATACTAACTCATAATTTATGTCTGATGGAAAGCCGAGTAGGTACTTCTGTGTGTTAAGTATAAGTTGTGTCATTAAAGTTTTCTGAAATGCAAGTTAGTGACACATTTTGGTGAGGCTATTGCCTCTCTGGTCTTCTGCTGTTAATTTTTGCATATATTAAATGGATTATAGTGGGGATACTAGTATTCTAATTTAAGAAAAAAATATCTTCATCTTACAGATGATCTCATGATGTTTTGGAAGAGAAGGAAAGATGTAAGATACTAGATTAAGTAGCTAGATCTATATACTAGATGTAAGATCTAGATCTATCTAGAGTGCAGACATTGCAATACTATGCCAATATCCAAACTCATGAAAAACATATTGGCTTTAAAGAAGGGTTCTGATATTTTGATAAAACTTAATGATATTTTTATGGACCGTTGTAGATTGAGGGCTCCCAGTTGTGGTTTAAGTCTAGTGTTTACTGATAAATTCATTTCAGATGTAACACATACATTTTAGCTTTGTCAAGATCATCTAAATGTGCAGCTTTTGATTTCTGAGAGGCTACAGATTAACACATTTTTGTTGAATATTTAAGAGCATAACAATTTTCTACTTTCAAAAAATGGTTTTAAATAACTCATTAAAATAATTACAATCTAATTACCATAAAACTCCAGTTAAAAACCTTGTAGTTTCACTTTGTAATTATAAAATAAATATAATGGTTGGTGATTATTCATGCATCATTAAAATAGATTTGTGTTTGAATTAATTTTGTATATGTGAGTGATTTCCATTCCTTTTTATATATTTTGTCATTCCATTTTTATTTTGAATGAACCAGCTTAACAAGCATAGCTCAGTACATGTATAAACTCTCACTGTCATCATAGTAATTCTCAAGGTAACAGAACAGTGTTGGTGCTGTTTATTCAGATGTTTATTTTCAAAGGTATTTTAACTCAGAAACTCTTTTTTACAGTCAGAACAGAAATGGAAACAACTTGCCGAACTTGCCATCAGTAAATGTCAGTTCGGCCTCGCGCAGGAGTGCCTGCACCACGCCCAGGACTACGGCGGTCTGTTGCTTCTGGCCACCGCTTCTGGAAATGCTAGTATGGTGAACAAACTAGCAGAGGGAGCAGAGAGAGATGGCAAGAATAACGTGGCCTTCATGAGCTACTTTTTACAGGGCAAGTAAGTATTTATCCAAGACCTAAAAGAGGTAGGCATAGTAATTGAAAGCACTCGTTTCGGCATTGACTTTTAGGGTGGTTTTGGAGAGGAAACAGTGAATCCTGGAGAGAGAACTAAGACCTGGCCAAATGCTGGTACTAGGGGGCCACTCATAGTTCTACCCTGGCAGAACTCACCTTCAGCAAGGGATGCTATTAGCACACTGGGTCAGTGTTTGAGCAGAGTGAGGTGTTTCAAGGAGGTTTGATTGGGAGAATTGTTAAATCCCTTTCTTTATCAAAAGCCCTTCCATTGACTGAGACATTTTATTTTATGATGGCAGGAAGCTTTTGTGCTGTTCCAGTTGGTATCTGAATCGCTGGTGATTTTACCCAAATTAGGTAAAATCTGACCTGTCCATGGAAAGAATAAAGGGGATGAGGATGCCAGTTACTTTTAGACTGAGATTAAATGTAAAGCATAAAAATGTCATATATCTCTTAAAGTCTAGCAATTAATGCAAATCAAATAATTTCAACCTAAATTAATTTACATTATGAAATAAAACATATTCATTAATCTTGCCCTACACACTAACTTTAAAACTCCCATTTTATTATGTAAACTTTGAATGTGTACCTCAACATATATATTTATAAAATATGTAAAATTTGATATACCTGTAAGAAGAGGTCCACTATTCCCCATCCATAATTTTAAAACCCCAAAATACTCTGGAAATAGTGTTTATGACTTATTTGATGGCAAAACCAGACCTTAACTCTGAACTACTATTAATTGCTTTTATGCCACTTGTTTCCATTGCATTTAATATTAATGTGTTAATGCACAATATCAATCTTTGACTTACTTGATGCTAAGGATATTAGATAATGTATATGTACTATATTATCTTTGTAAAATACCAAGTTTTTGAATTCTAAAATACATTATCCACTTTACCCAACTTAGAAAAAACTTAAAATAAGAAATAGACATTTGGGTATTTTCTCACTGGAAAGCACTTTGTCCAGCATAGCCCATGTTGGAATCAGTCCTTTATATTCCCACTTGTGAAACTGAGTTTCTGTGCCCATTTCTCCTGATGCCTTGAAAGTGTGCCTTAACTTGTCTGGAAAAGCCCATTTAGATTCGGAGTTGTTAAAACAAGTTGAAGAGATTGTAAATGGCCACAAAGCTGTCTTACCCTCGCACAACTGGAGTCCACTGATAACGTAACACACTGGTGATGACGTTAATGGCTCAGTGACAGAAATGAGGTGTTTGTGTGGGTATTGGGGAGAGAATGCTGACTTTGCAACACTGAATCCACATTTGTTTAATGTGTTAGGAGACATTATTACAGTGTTTATTCTGGGTAACAGTATGTCTCTCCTTTTTCATCTGTAGGCTTGATGCTTGCCTGGAGCTCTTGATTAGGACTGGGCGACTGCCAGAAGCTGCTTTCCTGGCCCGGACTTACTTACCCAGTCAGGTTTCTAGGTACAGACTTTTCATTTTAAGAACAAGTATTTCAGATAAAAACAGATTCAGTCTCATTCAGTTTCCCTTTGGTTCCATGGTATCTATATAGGGTGGTGAAACTCTGGAGAGAAAATCTCTCAAAAGTCAATCAGAAAGCAGCAGAGTCCCTTGCTGATCCAACAGAGTATGAAAACCTTTTCCCTGGATTAAAAGAAGCCTTTGTTGTGGAAGAATGGGTGAAGGAGACACATGCTGACCTGTGGCCAGCCAAACAATACCCACTTGTCACGGTGAGCAGCCAGGGCGCCAGGTCTTAGGGTGACTGCAGGGTGGAAGTACATCCATGCCGGTTTTGGATTGCGCTATTTATGTTATTGTTGGATTAAGAACTAATACCAAGCTCATAGATGAATTATTACTGGAATATTTCATTTCATCATTGCTTTCTTCTGATAGCCAAATGAAGAAAGAAATGTTATGGAAGAGGCAAAAGGCTTCCAGCCCTCAAGATCTGCAGCTCAGCAGGTCAGTAGAAAACTACATGAGATAATGTGGTTAAGATTTGTTCATTTTAAGTACCATTTCCTACTTCAAATCCTTATCTACCTTCCGTTGGGAGAAAACTTCAGAATTCCTGAATGAAGTTGTCTTTATATGTATCTCTGTGCTTTCAGGAACTTGATGAGAAACCTGATTCTGCTTATCAACTTATCATGGCCTCCCACACAGCCAACAAAGAAGAAAAGGTACAAATGTCATGCCCACACTTCCTGTTGGAACCTCAGCATCACCCCTGCCTTCCCATGAATGTCTGCTGGTTGTGTAGGCCCCTGTACTTTTAAGTGATATATCACTTACAGAGCCAGGGCTCTGAAATGGAAAGATGCCCTTTTTGACTGTTTTGGTTCCCTTTGGATCATGAATCAGCAATAACTTTTCTTTAACACGGTATTATGTAATTCACCCTCTTTCCTTTCCTTTGCAGAGTTTACTTGAACTGGAAGTTGATTTGGATAATTTGGAACTAGAAGATATTGACACAACAGATATCAACCTAGATGAAGATATTTTAGATGACTGAGTGTTTCCCATGTATCCAACTAAGCAAATCATTACTGTGGACAGGTATTGATCATCATCCTGAGCACAGTACATTGGACTCTAAGAAAAGTGCTAGTTATTTTATATGTAAATGCCAGCTCACTAGGAGTTTTAACACCCTCCTCATCTTAGGAGGAGTTTGTGTAGCATTTAAGTCACTGTTTCCTTGTTTACTAAAACAGATGTGGGCTTTTGGTTTTTTTCATACCGTTATTAGACCATATCTCATAAAATCTTTTGAATTAATGAAGACACTTCAGAGTTTTCTTTCTGATAATAAAAATAGGCTCCTAGTTTCAAAAGGCTGAGCCAAAACTACACCTTACCTAGGGATCAGCCTATATTCTCTAAACCCTTTCTCTTGATCCCATTTCCCTCAGTCTGTGTAGGTTGGCTTCTTAGGCCTTGCCCTGATTATGTCTAACAGATACCATTTCTGGAGTCAGATTCTGAAACTTAAGCTAGGCTCTGTGTAAATTACCTATTGGCCTGTTTGGTAACCAGATTTTTTTTTTTTACACTGCACTTGTCTGACCACAGAAATTCATAACCAGGCACTCAGATATACTTCTGTCATCTCCTTGTAGCCTAGGAAAGTGAGGGAGGTGAGTAACAGGTTGTTCTTTGTATTTCTGTTAGAGGCATTATTTAGAATTAAAATTTATAGGGAACTCCAAATTAGTACCTTTTAATTTTGACATCTTTAAACATTCAGCTAAGTATTAACAGAGAAAGCTAGTAAGCTAGTTAAAAACTTAGTAAAATGAAATTTATTTAGAAAGTATTTTCAGGAAGCTGCAGAGTGGCTTATGAGTGCTTCTTGATAAGCTTGCAGTGTTAATTCTATATATGCTCCATTCTGTGCTTCTGTTTTTGCAAAGACCTGTTTGTTTAGAAAAAAAAAAAGTTACTATTTATAAAGGTTTCAGTTTTCAGATTTCATTAACATTTCTGTATTGGCAAAGTTCCAGTTAAGTCTTCCTTTTTTCTGATTATAAAACAATAAGCATACTACACAGACTGAAAAAGAGTATCCAGTACAGTTCAAGCAATATTGTTCTGAACACCAGAAGTATCCTGATACGGCTGCTATTTCTTTTAGCCTGTCGTCTTCAGAAAAAAAGTTCAGAAAGCCTGACATGGCAGCTCCTGGTAGATCAAAATGAATCCGATTAGGTTCAAGACAAATATGGAAGATGAGAGCAAACTAGTTTATTTTCTCCAAAAGCATTTTATTATCTGGATTTTTATTTCTGGCTTATCATAGAAAATCAGAATACTGTAGTTTCTCTCTACTTCTCATAGGCTGTCATCACTGGTCACAGTCATAAAGTTTTGTAACTGCAGTGTGCATAAGATAATACTGGGATGGAAGCCATATCCACAAAACTATGCCTATTCTGAGCATTAGAAGAAATGAAAATTAAAACCTTGGGCTACACAGGTTTCTGTCCTTGTATGAAAGGTATGCCGTTCTGAAATGATACTGTAACTTAGGCTTAGTAATATACAAACACCACTCTGGACCTGGACAGGAACTGACCACACTGAAAGAAGCTGCCCTGGGGATGTGCTACCTAGTGCTTTGCCACTCTCTCGCTGGTGACTAGGTCACCTCAGATGCCACTACTCCAAAGAACAAGAGGGCTGTTGCTCCACTACCTGATGTTCTGATGCTGCACCTCCCCCCATTCCCATCCCATCTGTTTCTGTTGTCTAGGCTGAAGAAATGTATCTGGGGACTCTAATCACTTTCAAGACCACAAATGTTCCATATTCATGAATCTGTGTAGTTACCACTGAATGTGACCCACTTCAGAATTCTTCCCAACTCAATTATCCCAACAGCCAATGTGAAAGATCCCTTTACCTTAATTAAATGTACTCCCTCAGCAGCCTGCTCCTTGGCCTCTTGAGCTGACTGGCCCTCTGGATAGAGGATGTGATACAGCTGGATCAAGCTGGTGGCATCATCAACTCTAGTGTAAAAGGGTTTACTGTTATCAGGGGATTTTTTTTCATTTGCTTCAGTCCTACAAAAGTATGCGCCAGCTGAAAACTACATCTCAAACTTCTTGGGCCAGAGAAAATTCTTTTAAAGCCTTCAGTTGTGTATTTTCAGGAAAGTGGGTTACTGTAATGTTCATACCTACTCTGAGAGAAGGCAGGACTCACTACAGGCGGTGCCCAATTTATACAAGTGAATATATTCTAAATGTGGCTATAGTCTTTTTGAAAAATGGAGCGTCATTTCTCATAGAAACAGAATTTCCAGTCACAGATGATTTCAGGCCAGCCCACTTTACTAGCAGATAATAATGTAATCCAATTCAGAGGGCAGGAATATTCCTTCACCCCACATAAGGCAGAGGCTGGTAGCAGGGCGATGCTCAACACCACTTGCCTTTAGGTGCATTAGTAGTGATATCCACCAGTAAACTTCTATTGATACCGGATTAGTGGATAAATGCCTCTACCAGAGGCCTCCTGAGTGTCCAAGGAGAGACACTCAGGCCACCTGTCTAGCCCCAGGAACCCATTAGTTAAAAATCAGCATACCAGCAAAGCAAATCTGAAATTAAAAAGAAAGTAAGCCAGGTTTTACTTCAGGAATGTGTTTAATTTTTATTGTCACACAACTATGAGTATGAGGAAGCCAAAGAATTTAATTATTCTAGGTTGTACTGAGCTTTTAAAAAACCTATAAACAATTATCAGCATTAAAACTTTCCTAGCTTTTCCCAAACCAAACTTCTGTCTTCGCACATAGTCAACACTTTTCTACCATTTACCACCTCACAGTTGAGGGGTTATATAAAAAGCCCTAAAATGCTTGTGCTTTGGAGGTTCTGCTGGGTACACTTAGCTGCAAGCTTCTAGTTGGGGGTGCAGGGGTGAGGACACTACTTTAGTGCGGCCCCAGCTATTACTCTTCCACCTTCCCTGCTCTGTTACCTAAGCAGGAGGATAAACAGTGGGGTGGTAGTGGGAATAGGTAAAGAATCTCTCAAGCCATGGTGACCTTAGAGAAATGCTCTGGCTGATCCCAAGGCCCATCCACTCCAAAGGCCCTCTTCTGGGAGAACAGAAACCAGAGCCACTAAGGTGTCCCAGGATGAAAAAATGTTTATGTGTTCATTCAATTCTATTGTGCTTGTTATAACAAAAACATCTAATAAACCTGCAACAAAGTATCTCTCTGAATAATGTTTATCCCCTTCAGAGCTTAGGCAGGTGGCCCTGTAAAAGAGCTTAACTGGGTTTCAGTGTATTCGACTTAGTTTAGGGCTCATAACGCTTTATCTCACAGAACAATGTAGCTTCACACCCAACCCATATTTGAAGATAACAGCAAATAAATTTACAGGTTCAAAAGAGTTTAAAAGACTCTCAACCCAAAACCTACAGTGAGACCTGAATCTGAATTAAATGTAGGCAGAATCCCAGTTCTGCTCTAGGCTTCACTCAGTGAGGACATGCACCCCCTACTGTCTAGCCTGGGGTTTGCAGCAAGCTGTCCAGTTAATTCCCACACGAGTGGTTTTACTTTATGCAGAACAGGGAAGATTACAGGACTCTTTCCCAGTGTGCAAATAAACTGCTTTAGATGTAAAACTTACATGTAATATCAGTATTACTATAATATCACATATTAGTGTACCTGGAGAAAGAACTTTAATTTTCAGTTATACATTTCTATGTTATTCTGATTTTTTACAAAAAAAAAAGGTTTTATAATAAAATGATTTCAGAATGATTCCATTTGAGAAACTTTATAAGGAGATTTATTCACAGAACATGTCACTGCTAATGCACCTTTAAAGGTCATGAGCATCCTCATGACCATCAGCCCAGTCCCTGCTTAAGTGAGCTCTGAATTGCATTTTGTTACACGTGCTGGTGAACTGGGCAGGCCTGGAAATCACCTAGCATTAGGAATGCTGTTTCTATGAGAACTGATGCTCTGTTTGTAAATATGGACTGTATTTATTAATGCCTGTGGAATCTTCTAGTTCCAAATGCCTTAATGTTTCTGTGATTGGTTTAGACTACATGGAGGATATGTCATAAGTGAAAACTCCTCATAGATAGTCTGAGGTGGCAATAATCACTAAACCCTCTGTTGTTCAGGCTTTTGAGTCAAGGAAAGGCTTTTTGTGGAAAGCTGTTTTTCCACTTCCATGCTAGTTTCTTGTCCCTGACATTTTGACCTTGTCATTTTACCCCCAACCAATAGAAAGATACTCAAAAACAATTTTCTCTTCAGTTTTATCACAAGTTATAAAAAAGTACACGATTATTTCAGAAATCTAGGAGCACACAAGTTGGCATGCTAAAATGCAATAGACATTCTTTGACATGATTTTGGGGAAAATTGCAGTTTTTTTGATGCCTTAAAAATTTTCAAAAGCAGGGATATTAAAAGCAAGGATAGTTTCATAAGTTAAATGGCTTTTACTGAAAAGCCTAGAAATAGTCCTATCAGAAAACAATGACTTCCCATAGCTTATGTCTATTCTTTATATTTCCCATTTAATGCCCTTTGAATATCTGGAAAATTCACTGATAACCAGGTGCACTGGCAGTGAGGCCAGGGATATGTCAATGTCCTGGGTACAGAATACATATCCAAAGCCACTTAACTCCACACAAAAGACTGAGAAGACTGGGTTATACTGGAAGAACAAACCCATAAATAAACTGAAGTAAGTATAAGTTTTTTATCACTGGACAATAAACGGCTAACATTGGGAAAACAAAGATAGCTTACATAGAGATTTCCTGTGATGGTAATAAGAATATTTTTTACTTAATTAGTAAGATGATACTTACAAATCTCTTTTAATCTGGTCAATCAGTAAACCATCAATCTTTTTCTTATTTACAAAATACCAAGCCATTCCACCAAAGTGTCTGGTTGAACGTAAAAGGTCATACTTTCCATGTTTATCTATATCTTCATAGGTCTGATGATGAACCTATCCACACAAAATAGTTTTTCAGAAACATTAAAATAAAAGGATGTGAACCATTACTGGGTATACATATAGTAGCATGAGTACTGTCCAAGAAATCATGACTAAAACCAGGGCTACTGACACTACCTCTACTATCAATAACCAGTAGGTATGATTTAGACCAACTCTACTATTTCTATGAGAATTGAAAGCAGCCAAGAACAAGTTTACCAAACATTTATAGCCATACCAATTACTTTTCAGCAGCCAAGCCCTACTGAAGCTCCTATTATATATAAACAGGCCACTGGAAATAATGTACCACTGTTCCTTGGTCACTAGGAGGAAAAAAAATCAAGAATAATCTTTCACTCCCTTTTTCTCCTATCCCTTCAACTACCCCATTGCATCTTATCAACTAATGCTCTTTCAGTCCTCCTTCCAGATTGGTCTTCCTAAGTGAGGGAATTGATGAGGGCATTCCTGTGTTCAAAAAGCTTTCAAAGGCCTACTAGTTGAAGTCCAGATTGCCCAGCCTAGCATCTGAGGTCACCTGTGATATGGCCCCATCTACCTTATTCTTGTACCACTCCCCTCCGTACACACTGCACATACAAGCAAACCAGATGACTGGCCATTTCGCAAGCATACTTTGTTGTTTCCTTCCTCTTGTTTACAGTGTTACCTGAAGGACTTGCTCTCACCAAACTCCACTCACCCCAATGTTCCCTGCCCTTCTAGAACCCTCTTCAAGACCCCTATGAAGCCTTTCCTGAGAGTACTTTGTAATCTTCTCTTAACACCTAACATTTTAAACCTAGGGTGATGATTATCTGGATACTCCTCCAAGGTCTTTCCCCACAATCATTTCTGAACTGTAAGCTTTGACACAGTGCACCCTGTCCAAGTTCATGTCATATACTATTCACAGTTATACCTTACACATATAAGGGATGATATGATTACTTATTAAATTAACTGTAAGACACATTGCATTTTGGCAAATTTTAATAAATAACTTTGTTCCTTTGTGATAAATTGAGAATAGGCTTTGCCATCAAGTTTGGGTCCTAACTCTACCACTTACTAACTGTGCATCTTTCAGTAAGTAACTTCACTGTCCAAGCTTAAGTTCTCCCATTCCTAAATCACGGGTTGCTAAAGCAGATAAAATGTCTGTCCTCATAAAATGAGTCCTAAGGGACTCAACAGATATTCAGATATTTCCCTTCTCTTCCCCCTGTATCAAAGCTTATATAACCTAACTCACTGTGGTAAATTAAAAATCTTATTCATAACCATACTTAGGTCCATACTTTAGCAACTATAAAATATACTCACTTTGATATATTCAGCAGAATCTGGCTCAAACTGGGCAACACAGAGATTGAGGACATCAGCATACCGGTCCTGGCTGTACATGATCTAAAACCACACAGCAGAGTTGGAATTAGATGAGAACACAAAATTTCGAACCCTGTCCTGATATGACAGCACATCTGCATGCCCATAAAGAGGTATGCAGAAATAACACAGGCTTTGTAACTGTCACACACGGATTTAAATCCCAGCTAAATCAATTATAGATGACCCTAGTTTAGTTGTTACTAGAAATGTTTATCTCTGTTTATCAAGGCCAAATGCACTGTAACACAAAAACCAACTGGTTCAACAAATAAACCATCACCACTGACTATGAAGCCAAAGTCACTCTACCTTAAGATTTTCTTCCTTGAAAATTATTGGTGTCAAAACTCTACGACCTTCTTTTGGGAAATAAATTTGTATCACTCGGTCCCGTTCTTCCCAGGATGCTTTGCGTAGCGTCCCACTTGGTTCTCTGACAACAATAAAACGCTCCTGTAATAGAAAACAAAATCAAGGATGAGTTTGTGAGGACTTATTTTTAGTTCCAATGTTCCACTAAACACTATCATAGGATGTAATGATTTGTAATCGACAATATAAAATCCAACTGGGAAACATAAACTGCAATTGTGTATGATTTGAATGATAATTTTAAACCTCAAAGACTTGCCAAGATTTGATCTGATACTTCCTTCATTAATCACTGCCGGGCTGCTGACAGAAATCTAAAATGAAAGTATTTACTAAGTGCCAATTATGGTCCTAAACTGGGTTCAATACATAAAATGGCTTAGCTAAAAAAAGCTGATCTGAGATTCATCAAAGTCCATTTCAGAGGAAAGATGCTTTAAGACCTTTCAAATTGTTTACTTTCCCCCATCCGAAGGTTTCACCTAAACAGACATTACTACTTTATGATCTACTTTTATCAGGATTAAAGGAACAAACCCAAGAATTAGTCTTAACTCTGCACCTCTGATTCCTCATACTGGCATGAGACATCAATGTGTCCTGTAGACTCGTTCGCCTGCCTCTTAATCTCACTCTTCCAACTGCCAAATCCCAGACCGTGAGAAAGCTTCCTCCTCCAAATTCCGCCCACTGCTTGTACCACCCAACTGGCAATTTACCATGTGCAAGATTCTCGACATCTCAGATATTGTTACAGAACTGGAAAAGGGAAGAGCTGTGGGTTATAATTCTTTGCAATACCCAGTGACTTACATAGAGCTTGGCACATAACAGATAACTGATACACATCTGATTAATGTTTAAATTAACCAGATGGTACTATCAACTTTTCAGAGGTACACAAGAGTCTCTGAATGTATTTTGAGGATAATACAAATTATCAAGCACTGCAAATAGACAAAAATACTTCACATGCCAAAATAACAAAAGTGTTCCTCCAGTGGATTTTGGGAATTTGAATTCCAAGTTCCTTTCTCCCTCTTGGGTTATAGAAGTTCCCACAACCAGCCTTCACAGCACTGCAAATATAGAGTAAAGCACCCCAAAGCAAAAATTATAATTGAAACTCTCTGATCCCTTTTCCTTATGTCAGGTATACAGGTGATGTACAGACATGGACATGCTCAAATCAGGTCTTCCAACCAGAATCATATATGATAAAAAGATAATAGGGTGTGGACCTTCTCCCAACCCTAGCAGTATGTAGTATTCTTCTGCATCTTGTGAGCTGAACTGTAAATTACTGTCTTTCTACTCTTACTTGAAAAGGCTGAAAAACAAAACTGCTGTGTTTTATGAGTGCCAGAGTGTTCCTCTGGAACTGGCAATCAAGGGAAGAGGAGTTAAGAGAATAAAAACTACAACAGCAGCAGTGGTGCTGCCAGAAAATTATCGGGGGACATCTCCCATTCTTACTGCAAATTCTGGAAAGTGAAAGTCCTTTGGGAAGTCTGGGTTTTTGTAATCATCAAGAATTTATAGAAAACCAGATTAAAGATGGTGGCATAAGAAGTGTGACAGAAACCTCCACCCAAAACCACATATAACAAGAAAATACAGCAAATACACCTAATCCTGAAAGAACAACCAGAAAGACTGCTTATATCTGGGGAAAAGTGAAGACCCCATGAAAAAGGGTAAAGTAGCAAAGTCGTGATCCGGCGGGACCCAAGCCCTTCCCTGATGCCAGCTCACTGGTGGGAGGAAGAGAAATGGAACAGGGAGGGGTCAGAAGCCTAGGACTGCTGGACACCCAGCCCTGGAGATCTGCTCTGGGAGCATGAACCTACATTACACGGTGCTCTGGAGACTAGTGTGGTTGGAAAGCTAAGACAGGTGGAATACTCAGAGAGACTGAGATTCCAGCCTCTTGTGGAGAACAGGTACCCACAACCAACCACTCCAGGATAAAAGAAAGACAGGCACTTTGAAAGACTTCCAACAGTGAGAGGGCAGCTAAAGGTACAAGGATTACACAGAGCTTGCTCCTCAGGAGAAAGGGCAGGAGGACAAAATCGTACTGGCACACTCAACCCAACAGGTTGGGAACTTTCAGGAGCTTTAGACGCTCCATTCTTCTGGCTGGTGATGCAGGCTGAGGCACCCCACTGCAATATGATGCCTGCCACTCCTTCCTTCCGAGCTGGCATCGGTTTGAAAACATCCTACCCCCGCCATTGCTCCAGGCCAGCCAGAGGGCAGCCCAGGTACAGGGGCATAACCCAGAGCCTCCTCCCTGTGTTCTTGGCCCACTGGCCCTGGCAGTGGACGCAGGCACTGCAGCCAGGAAGCAGGAAAGAGCTCTTTCCTCCCAGCGAGCACTGGCACCTGCTCGCCTATGACACCCCGCCATTGCTCCAGGTGCTGGGCAGCTCCTGAGAGTAGAGCTTCTGGAGCACTAGAGGGTGTAACCTACACAAAGTTATTATTCCATAGGAATCATTACAAATATGAAATGGCAAAAGAATCTGGTACAAACCAAATCCCACAAACACGAAAAAGAGGGCTAAGTGAAACTGAAATCACCAATCTCCTGATAAAGATTTCAAAATAAAAATCATAAACATGCCCACAGAGCTACAGAAAAATATTCAAGACCTCAGGGGGACGTCAAGAGATAGAAACTTTGAAAAACATAGCGTCCAAAATGAAACATACTATGGAGGGATTTAAAAGCAGAGTAGATGAGGTAGAGGAGATGGTAAATGGAATAGAAATTAGAGAACAGGAATACAAAGAAGCTGAGGCACAGAGAGAAAAACGGATCTCTAGGAATGAAAGAATATTAGAACTGTGTGACCGATCCATACGTTACAATATTTGCATTATAGGGGAAACAAAAGAACAAGAGAGAAAAAGGAATAGAAAGTGTCTTTGAGGAGGTAAGTGCTGAGAACTTCCCCAATGTGGCGAAGGATTCGTTTTTCAGGCCATGGAAGTGCACAGATCTCCCAACACAAGGGACTCAAGGAACAAAACACCAAGCCATATAAAAATTAAAAGGGCAAAGATCAAAGACAAGGACAGAGTATTAAAAGCAGCAAGAGAGAGAAAAAAGATCACATACAAAGGAAAACCCATCAGGCTACTGTTAGACTTCTCAGCAGAAATCTTACAGCCAGACAGAAGTGGCGTGATATATTTAATGCAGTGAAGCAGAAGGGCCTCAAACCACGAATACCCAGAAAAATCATCATTTAAATTTGAAGCAGGGATTAAACAATTTCCAGATAAGCAAAAGACAAGAAAAGTTACCTCCCATAGACCATCTCTACAGTGTATTTTGGAGGGACTGCTATGGATGGAAGTGCTGCTCCTAAGGCTAAATAGCTGTCACCAGAGAAAATAAAACCCCAGTAAAGGAAATAAACCAATTAATTGCTAAGCAAATGCAAAATTAAATCAACTACCCACAAAGTCAGTTAAGGGGTACGCAAAGAGCACAGAATATGGCATGTAACATATAAAGAGTGAAGGAAGAAGGAAGAAAAAAAAAGAACCTTTAGATTGTGTTTGAAATAGCTTAATAAGGGAGTTAAGTTAGACTGTTACATAGTAAAGAAGCTACCCTTGAACCTTGGTAACCACAAATCTAAGCCTGCAATGGCAATAAGTACGTATGCATTGATAATCACCCTAAATGTAAATGGACTGAATGCACCAATCAAAAGACACAGAGTTACTGAATTCAGGATAAAAAAACAAGACCCATCTATATGCTGCCTACAAGAGACTCATTTCAAACCCAAAGACACACACAGACTGAAAGTGAAGGGATGGAAAAAGGTATTTCATGCAACTAATAGGGAGATAAAAGCAGGAGTTGCAGTACTTGTATCAGACCAAATAGACTTCAAAACAAAGAAAGTCACAAGAGACAAATCATAATGATAAAGGGGTCAGTCCAACAAGAGGCTATAACCATTATAAATATCTATGCACCCAACACAGGAGCACCTACATATGTAAAACAAATACTAACAGAATTAAAGGGGGAAATAGAATGCAATGCATTCATTTAAGGAGACTTCAACACACCACTCATTCCAAAGGACAAATCAACCAGACAGAAAATAAGTAAAGAGACAGAGACGACGAACAACGTATTAGAACAGATGGACCTAACGGACATCTACAGAACACTCCACTCAAGCAGCAGGACACACATTCTTCTCAAGTGCACATGGAACATTTTCAAGAATAGATCATATACTAGGCCACAAAAAGAACCTCAAAAAATTCAGAAGGATTGAAATTGTACCAACCAGCTTCTCAGACCACAAAGGATATGAAACTAGAAATAAATTATGCAAAGCAAACAAAAAGCCCACAAACACATGGAGGCTTAACAACAGGATCCTAAATAATCAATGGATCAATGAGCAAATCAAAACTGATAAAGCAATATATGGAGACAAATGAAAACAAGAATTCAACAATGCAAAAGCTGAGGGACACAGCAAAGGCCATGTTAAGAGGGAACTATATTGCAATACAGGCTTACCTGAGGAAAGAACAATCCCACATGAATGGTCTAAACTCACAATTAATGACACTAGAAAAAGAAGAACAAGTGAGGCCCAAAGTCAGTAGAAAAAGGGACATAAAGATCAGAGCAGAGATAAATAAAATAGAGAAGAATAAAATAAAAGAATTTATGAAACCAGGAGCTGGTTCTTCAAGAAAATAAAATAGGCAAACCCCTAGCCAGACTTACCAAGAAAAAGAGAGAGTGTACACACACAAACAGAATCAGAAATGAGAAAGGAAAAATCAATATGGACACCACAGAAATACAAAGAATTATTAGAGAATACTATGAAAAATTACATGCTAACAAATTGGATAACCTAGAAGAAATGGACAACTTTCTGGAAAAATACAACCTTCTAAGACTGACACAGGAAGAAACAGAAAATCTGAACAGACTGATTACCAGCAATGAAATTGAACTGGTAATCAAAAACTACCTAAGAACAAAAGTCCTTACCAGATGGCTTCACCGCTGAATTTTATCATATATTTAGAGAAGACCTAATACCCATCCTCCTCAAAGTTTTCTAAAAAATAGAAGAGGAGGGAATACTTCCAAACTCATTCAATGAGGACAGCATCACTCTAATACCAAAACTACAAAGACACTACAAAAAAAGAAAATTACAGACCAGTATTCCAGATGAACATAGATGCTAAAATACTGAATAAAATATTAGCAAACCAAATTCAAAAATACATCAAAAAGATCATCCATCATGATCAAGTAGGATTTATTCCAGGGATGGTACAATATTCAAAAATCCACCAACATCATCCACCACATCAACAAAAAGGAAAAAAATCAGATAATCATCTCCATGGATGCTGAAAAAGCATTTGACAAAATTCAACATCCATTCATGATAAAAACTCAACAAAATAGGTTTAAAGGGGAAGTACCTCAACATAATAAAGACCATATACAACAAACCCATAGCCAACATCATACATAACAGCAAGAAGCTGAAAGCTTTTCCTTTAATATCAGGAACAAGACAAGGATGCCCACTCTCACCACTTTTATTCAACATAGTACTGGAGGTCCTCACCATGGCAATCAGACAACACAAAAAAATAGAAAGCCTCTAGATTGGTAAGGAAGAAGTTAAACTGCCACTGTTTGCAGATGACATGATATTGTACATAAAAAACCCTAAAGAATCGACTCCAAAACTTCTTGAACTAATAACTAAATTCAGCAAAGTTGCAGGATACCAAATTGTTACACAGAAATAGAAATCTGCTGCATTTCTACATACTAATAATGTATTAGCAGAAAGAGATATCATGAAAACAATTCCATTTATAATTTTATCAAAAAGAATAAAATACCTAGGAATAAACCTAACCAAGGAGATGAAGGACCTATACCCTGAAAACTACAAGACACACTTTAGAGAAATCAAAGAAGACACCAATAAACCAATAAATGGAAATACATTCTATGCTCATGGATAGGAAGAGTTAATATTGTCAAAATGGCCATCCTGCCTAAAGCAATCTACAGGTTCAATGCAATCCGTATCAAAATACAAACGGCATTCTTTATCAAAGTAGAATAGCTCTAAATTTCATATGGAACCACAAAAGACCCCGAATAGCCAAAGCAATCCTGAGAAGGAAGAATAAAGCTGGGGGTATTACACTCCCTGACTTCAAGCTCTACTACAAAGCCACAGTAATCAAGATAATTTGGTACTGGCACAAGAACACACCCACAGATCAATGGAACAGAATAGAGAGCCCAGATACAAACCCAAGCACATATGGTCAATTAATATATGATAAAGGAGTCATGGATATACAGTGGACAAAAAGCAGCCTCTTTAACAACTGTGTTGGCAAATCTGGACAGTGACATATAAGAGAATGAAACTGGATTATTGTCTAACTCCATACACAAAAGTAAAGAGGAAATGGATCAAAGACCTGAATGTACGTCATGAAACCACAAAACTCTTAGAAGAAAACACAGGCAAAAATCTTTGAATATAAACATGAGCAGATTTTTTCTGGGTAAGGAAAACAAAAATAAAAATGAAAAAATGGGACTACATCAAACAAAAATCTCTACAGCAAAGGACAACATCAGTACAACACCATCAGTAGAACGAAAAGGCATCCTAGTAAGGGAGAATATATTTTTGTAAACAACATCCTAAATATATAAAGAACTCACATGCCTCAACATCCAAAAGGCAAATATCCTGATTAAAAAATGGGCAGAAGATATGAACAGACACTTCTCCAAAGAAGAAATGCAGATGGCCAACAGGAACATGAAAAGATGCTCCACATCGCTATCAGTAAAATGCAAATTAAAATCACAATGAGATATCACCTCACACCAGTTAGGATGGCCAACATCCAAAAGACAAGGAACAACAAATGCTGGTGAGGAAGCGGAGAAAGGGGAACCATCCTACACTGTTGGTGGGAATGTAAATTAGTTCAACCACTGTGGAAAGTAATATCGAGGTTCCTCAAAAAACTAAAAATAGAAATACCATTTGACGTGGGAATTCCACTCCTAGGAATTTACCCAAAGAAAACAAGATCCCAGATTCAAAAAGACATATGCACCCCTATGTTTACTGCAGCCCTATTTACAATAGCCAAGAAACGGAAGCAACCTAAGTGTCCATCAGTAGATGAATGGATAAAGATATAAACAGTGGAATATTATTTAGCCATAAGAAGAAAACAAATCCTACTATTTGCAACAACATGAATGGAACTAGAGGGTATTTTGCTCAGTGAAATAAGCCAGGTGAAAAGACAAGTACCAAATGATTTCACTCATTTGGAGTCTAACAACAAAGCAAAACTGAAGGAACAAAATATCCAGAGACTCACAGACTCCAAGAAGGGACTAGAGGTTACCAAAGGGAAGGGGTTGGGGAGAGTGAGTGGGGAGGGAGGGAGAAGGGGATTAAGGGGCATCATGATTGACACACATGGTATGTGTAGGTGGGGGGTGGGGGGTCACAGGGAAGACAGTGTAGCCCAAAGACGACAAGTAGTGACTGGCATCTTGCTTCACTGATGGGCAGTGACTATGGTCGGGTATGTGTGGGGGACTCGATAATATGGGTGAATGTGGTAACCACAATTTTGCTCATGTGAAATCTTCATAAAATTGTATATCAATGATACCTTAATAAAAATATATAATTGGCACATTAAAAAAAAGAACTTACAGGAAAGAAATCCTCAGTCTTTTCAAAAAGCTTTAGCTAAGGAAGTGAAATGGGCAGAAAGAATCCCTTTTCCCTTTGCCTTTAGGATTTTTGTCTGTTTGTGGTTTGGGCTGGGTTTCTGTCTGAAAAACCCTTATTCTGTCTTAGCACACCTGTCTCTTTCTTTGCAATGTGTAATACACAGCGTCCATAATCTACAGGGAAATGACAACATGATGATGTGGGACTGGTCTGCATTTCTCTTCTTCCTTATGCTGTATCTTCCAGAAGAATTTCACCGAGTCACAGGAACTCTGGCTTGGAAGATCCAGAGACAGCTAGTCACATGATGTGACCATCCTTCTTCAGACCCAACTCCACACAGTATTTCAAATAACGATCATTTTGCAATTGGACATATACTCACCCGGTGTGGTATACTATATGATATATCAGTAAACACGTATTTGGCTGTTTCTGTTCCTTCCAATATCTTATCTTCAGCTAATACATCATTTATTGGTGCTCGCTCTTCCAACACTGGTGGCATTTTTAGTCGCACTTTAGCTGCCTCAATTGCCTGTCTTGTAGCCTAATGAAATAAAATATTTCTTAAGGAAAGCCACAAGGTTACAGACCAAAAGGATGCTCTCACAAAACCAATACTAATCAAAAATGCCAAGGACTGCAAACAGAAGAAGCTGTAGCCACAAATCAGTGACTAAAAAGTCAAACTTGGCCCCTGGGCCCTAGCCTTTGCCTCAGTGGTATGGGTGAGAGCACCAGCTACAAGCTCAGTTATTCTCACAGCAGCAAAGGAATGCTGAGACAGAACCAGACCAGAAAAGGAGCTTGAAATAGAACAAAGGATTTCATTTACTGTGTGCTTACTATGTGCCATATAGTGTTCAAATATTCTGAATATGTTGGGCTCATTTAGTGCCTACAGCTATCTAATGAGCTAGGTGAGGCTGTTCTCATTTTATGGGAGATAAAACAGGCAAACAATTGTTAAATAAATTGGTAGAAAGTTGCAACCTGGGATTTAACCCAGGCAACTCCACTGCAGAGCGCATGCTCTTAACCACTGACCACAGCACTCCATGCCATATATATATATATACACACATACAGTGATTACCTCAGAGAGGAGAAACGGGGGCTTTCACTCTTCATGTGACACATTATGGGATATTTACATTTTTTGCTGTAACAATAAGTTACTTTTAAATCAGAAAGAGGAGCAATAATGCTTAATATATTGATATATCAAAGTATTTTGCACACAGCACTCAATGCCCATGACCCAGGACACTGGTGCCTGCAGCAGGACGCTGTTCAGCAAGTTCTCATAACCTCACTAAAGCTTTGGCCTCAAAGCAGCTCACAACAGATGACTCTCCAGGAAGGAAGCTGGGCAAGGAGGACAAAGCAAACATGCTCAAGCTGGTATCAGAGCAGAAGAGGCTCTGCTTGCTCCCTGCTCTTTGCCTGTCTGCTCACATTTCTCAGTTCTACACCTGGAACTCCCCCTCATTAGTGCCTGTGGAAGAGCAGCTATCAGCATCTGGAGGAGCCTCTGGGAATCTGTTTAACCTTTTAAACACAGGCATTCTCCCTGTACTCCTGTGTGCACATACCTCTTCCAACTGTGCCTGGGTCATCAGCTTATAGGTTGGTGGCTTCAGTTCTTGCACAGCTGGCTTAAAAACTTTCTGCAAATTCAAGCCTGTCATCTTGATGAGTATGCTCTGGACTTCTTCATCCATAAATGTAGGTTTCTTGATCTCTGAGCTACCAGATTCTGCTAAAATGAATTTTAGAAAATAAGAGCAAAAATGACAAGGCCAGTAAGACCTCTAAATAGAAAAGATAATAAAAATGATTAACACAATGTCTACTTCAGTATGTATAATGTTAATACTATGAGATTCATTTATTTAAAATTTATTGAGCATTCACTATGATGAGAATACAGTTTCTGCCAAAAAGAAACTCAAAATCTAGAGGACAAACAGGAAAAAAGTAATGTAATAATAATAATAATAATAATGGTTGCTACCATCTACAGAGTTATCTCCTACATCCCAGGCATGACATTTTCAGGTACGCTTACAATTGATATCCCAATTTTATAAACAAGGATAGTGGAATCTGCCTGAAGACAACTAGCTAAGTAAGAGTCAGGATTTAAACCAAGATTTGTCTGTTTCTAGAGGCTAGATCAATTCCAATCTACCAGGGTACTCCTCATTGTAGTGCTATGAGGGGGTTGTATGACTACAGAGGAGGGAATTAAACTTAGCTTGGGAGCAGAGGTCATGGCAGGGTCAAAGAAGGCCTCCCAGGGGCCTAAACAGGGGAAAAGAAAAGGGAAGGAAACTCTAGTCTGAGGGGTTGCAGCTTTAGGAAAAACAGGCCTGGATCACTGGACATGATACTGAAAAGGTCATATGGTGTCATGGAAGAGCCTTGGACAGGAGAGGAGACCCAGATCTCAGCTCTGCCTTGTGTCGTTTGCCTGTCCCTTTGCCTAACTTCTGTTTGCATCTCCATTAGGAAAAGGGGAGGGTGGTCATTCCTTCGCAGTCACCTACCTCTTCCTCTGCCAGTCCCATAACTGCCGGTGCATCTTAAGAATTCTGAACTGCGTCCTCCTCTCCCTCCTCACATTCTTGCTGGATGATCCCTAGCCTCCTGTAACTATAATTACTTTTATATGCTGCAGACTCAAAAATCTGAATCTCTAGCCAAGATAATCAATCCAGCTACCCAACGGTCATGTCACATGCACAGCAATATGGCCAAAGCAGGACCCGTGAACTTTTTCCTGTCTCAAACCTGCTGTATCTATTGTTCCCTATCTTAGCAGCATGCAAAAGGTCATGTGGGCCAGAAACCTTACAGTCATTCCTGACTTCCCCTTTACTCAACACATCTAGCCAACAGCAATACCAACAATAAAAGTAACAATATCAGCTAACATTTGCAAGATATTCACTATGTGCTAATGCTTACTCAGCTAAGTACTTTACATTATTAGCACATTTAATCCCACCAACAACCTCATAAGTACTGTGATTATCTCCAGTTTACAAAAAAGGATACTGACACAGAAAATACTACCTGCTATAACTTCTAAATCTGTTTAATCCATCATGGCCATCCTCATCTCTAGCCTAAGCTTCTAACAGTCTCTCAGCCTCCATTCTGATTCCACTTTAGACCATTCTCCACAGAACAACCAGAGTAATCTCTTAAAAATGACAGGAAAGTGTTAATAAAACTTAAGAATTGGTTCTTTGAAAAGACAAAATTGACATTTAGCCAGACTAATGAAAAGAGAAAAGATCCAAACCAACAAAATTACAAATGAAATAGGAGACATTACAACTGATATCACAAAAATACAAAGGATCACAACAGGCTTCTATGAACAACTATATGTCAACAAACTGGATAGCCTGGCAGAAATGAAAAAATTCTTAGAAGCATAAGACCAACCAAAACTGAACAAGAAGAAATTTAATCATCATTAAGCTGGCCTTACAAGAAATGTTAAAGGGACTTCTTTAAGCAGAAAACACCATAACTAGAAGAAAATTATGAAAGGAAAAAAATTCCACTGGAAAACCAAACACACAGTAAAGGTGAATCAATCACTTATAATGCTAGTATGAAATTCAAAAGACAGAGGTAGTAAAGTCAATTAAGTACACAAAAATGAGTCAAGGGACACGCAAAATTAAAAGTTATAAAATAGGACATCATATACATAAAACATGGAAGGGAAAATAATAAAAAGAGGAGTGCTTTTTGAATGTATTTGAACTTAAACAACCAACAATCTCATACAGACTGTACATACATGTAGGATACTATATAGAAACCTCAGGTTACCACAAACCGAACATAATAAAAACACAAAAATTAAAGAAAGGAATCAAAGCCTAACGCTAAAGAAAGTCATCAGATCACAAGAAAGCAAGAGAAAGAACTAAGAACTACAAAAACAACCAGAAAACAATGAACAAAATAACAATAAACACATCCCTAGTAATAATTACTTTAAATGTAAACAGATTAAATGCTTCAATCAAAAGACACAAGGTGACTAGATCAATTAAAAAACAAGATTAAGCTGTATGCCTACAAGAGACTCACTTCAGACCTAAAGACACACACAGACTAAATGAGAAGGGATAGAAAAAGATACTCCATGCAAACAGAAGAGAAAAAAACAAACTAGTATAGGAATACTTAGACAAAACAGACTTCAAAACAAGGACTATAACAAGAGATAAAGAATGGCATTACAAAACAATAAAGGAATCAATCCCTCAAGAGGATCTAACAATTGTAAATACACCCCCAACATAGCACCTAAATATATAAAACAAATATTGACAGATATAAAAAAAGACATAGACAGTATAAAATAATAATAGGGGATTTTAACACACCACTTAACAGCAATGGACAGATCATCCAGACAGAAAACCAGTAAGGAAACAAGTGGCATTGAATAAAGTATTAGGAAGATGGACTTAACAGATATATGCAGAACATTATATCCTAAAACAGCAGAATACACATTCTTTTCAACTGCACATGGAACATTCTCTAAGATAGATAACTGTTAAGCCACAAAACAAGTCTCAATAAATTCAGTAAAAGACTGAATTCCTATCAACCATCTTTGCCAACTACAGAGATATGAAGCTAGAAGGAAAAAAAATGGAAAACAAACACATGGAGGCCAAACAACATGCTACTAGAAAGCCACAGGGTCGATGCAGAAATCAAAGAGGAAATCAAAACATACCTGGAGACACATGAAAACAGAAACAGTTCAAATCCTTTGGGACACAGCAAAAGCAATTCTAAGCAGTAAGTTTATAGCAATGTATGTCTACCTCAAGAAACAAGAAAAGGCCCAAATAAGCAGTCTACCCTTACACCTACAGAAACTAGAAAGTGAAGAACAAATCCCAAAGTTAGCAGAAGGAAGAGTAGAAATGAATGAAATAAAGACCAAAAAAGAAAAAGAAAAATAGAAAAGATCAATGAAACTAAGAGCTGTTTCCTTGAAAACATAAAATCAATAAACCTTTAGCCACACTCATCAAGAAAAAAACAGCACTCAAACAAAATCAGAAATGAAACAAAAATTACAACAGATACCACAGAAATACAAAAGATTGTAAGACATTATTACAAAAAATTGCATGCCAACAAAATGGATAAATTTCTAGAAAAATACAATCTTCCAATACTGAATAAGGAATAAAAAAATCTTAACAGGGCCATTACCAATAACAAAACTGAGTCAGTAATCAAGATAATCCCAACAAATAAAAGAGAAGAACTAAATGGCTTTCACAGGTGAATTCTACCAAATATTTAAAGATGAGTTAACTCCTATCCCTGTCAAGCTATTCCAAAAGGAAGAAATGCTTCCAAATGATTCTCAAAAGTTGCAAACCAGCATTACCCTGATACCAAAACCAAAGACACTACAAAAAAAGAAAATTACAGAACAATATCCTCAGTGAACATGGATGCAAAAATCCTCAACAAAATATTAGCACACCAATCTAAAAAAATCATTAAAAGGATCATTCACCACAATTAAGTGAGAATTATTCCAGGGACACAAGAATGGTTCAACATGATACACCACATTAACAAAAGGATAAAACTCATATGAACATCTCAATAGATGCAAATCTGACAAAACTGGACATCCATACTCTCAACAAGTATAGAAGGAACATACCTCAACACAATAAAGGTCATATATGATAAACCCACAGCTAGCATCATACTCAATATTGTCATTATTTGCAGATGACAAAATACTATACAGAATATACACTAAAGACTACACTAAAAAACTACCAGAACTAAAAAGTGGATTCAGTAAAGTTTCAGGATACAAAATCATATACAGAAATATGCTGCATTTCTATCACACTAATAACAAACTAGCAGCAAGAAAAATTAAGAAAACTATCCCACTTATAATTGCATCAAAAATAAAAAAATATCCAAGAATAAGTTTAATCAAGGAAGCGAAAGAAAAGTTGTTTTCTGAAAACTGTAAGACATTGATGAAACAAACTGAAAGATAAAGATACATCATGCTTATGTACTGGAAGAATTAATACTATTAAGATGTCCATACTTTCCAAACCAATCTACAGATTCAGTGCAATCCCTATCAAAATACCAATGCCATTTTTTACAGAAAAAATAATCCTAAAACTTGTATAGAACTTTGCACAAAAGATCCTGGATAAACAAAGCAATCTACCGAACAAAGTTAGAGATACCACACTTCTGATTTCAAACTATACTAACAAAACTATAACCAAAACAGTATGGTAGTGGCACAAAAGCAGATTCATACATCAAGGGAAAAGAAGAGTCTAGAAATAAACCCACACTTACATGGTCATTAACATATGACAAAGGAGGCAAGACTATACAATGAGGAAAAGAGTCTCTCTTCAATAAATGGTGTTGGGAAAACTGGACAGCCACATATGAAAGAATGAAACTGGACCACTTTCCTACACCATACACAAAAATAATCTCATGGGACTACATCAAACTAAAAAGCACCTGCACAGTAAAAGAAACTATCAACAAAACAAAAAGGCACCCTACTGAATGGGAGAATATATTGGCAAATGACATATTTGGTAAGGGGTTAAAATCCATAATATATAAAAAACTCATACAACCCAACACCAAAAATATATATATATAATTTAAAAATGGGCAAAGACCTGAACAATTTTCCAAAGACAATCAGATGCCCAACATACATGAAAAGATGCTTAACATCTCTAAACAAAGAAATGCAAATCAAAATCACAATGAAATACCAGTTCATACCAGTCAGAATGGCTAGTATCAAAAAAATAAGAAATAACAAGTGTTGACAAGAATGTGGAGAAAAGGGAACTCTCATGCATTGTTGGTGAGAATGTAAACTGGTGCAACCACTATGGAAAACAGTATGGAGTTCCTCAAAAAATTAAAAATGAAATGCCATATGATTTAGTAATTCTACCTTTGGGTACTTACCTGAAGAAAACAAAAGCACTAATTTGAAAAGATATATGCATCACTATATTCATAGCAGCACTACTTATAATAGCCAAGTTACAGACACAACCTAAGTGTCCACCAATAGATGAACACATAAAGATTAGGTATATATAAACAATGGAATATTATTCAGCCATCAGAGATAATGAAATCTTGCCATTTGTGACAACATGGATACCTAGAGAGTATTATGCTAAGTAAAATAAGTCAGAGATAGACAAACATCATATGATTTCACTTATATGTGGAATAGAAAACAAAACAAACAAACAAAAACCCAGAAACAGACTCACAAATAAAGGGAACTGATGGTTGCCAGAGGAGAGAGGGGTAAGGTTTAGGCAAAATAGATGGAAGGGATTAAATGGTACAAACTTCCAGTTATAAAATAAATAATTCACAGGGATGAAAACTACAGCATAGCAATATTCAGTAATACTGTAATAACTTTGTATGGTGACAGATGGTAACTACACTTATTGTGGTGAGCATTCTGTTATGTATATAAATATCAAATCACTATGTTGTACACCTAAAACTGATATATATGTCACTATGTTTCAATAAATTTTGTTTTAAAAAAGACTGAATCAGGAAGATACAGAAAATCTTAACAGACCAATTACTAGTAAAGGGACTGAACCAGTAATAATAAATATCCCAATGAAGAAATACCCAGGACCACACAACTTTACAGGTGAATTTACCAAACACTTAAAAAATAATTAATGCCAATATTTCCCAAACTCTTCCAATAAACTGAACAGGAAGGACTATTCCCAAACTCATTTTATGAGATAAGCACAACATGCACTGAACATTGATGTGATACATCACATTAACAGAATGAAGGAAAAAAATTACATTATTTCAACAGATGCAGAAAAAGCACTTGACAAAATTCAATATCTGTTGATGACAAAAAACAAATGAGATATAGAAGGAACATACCTCAACATAATAAAGGCCACATATAACAAATCTACAGCTAACATCATACTCAATGGTCAAAAGTCCTTCCTCTAAGTTTAGGAACAAAACAAGGATACCCACTCTCACCACTCCTATTCAACATAATTCTGGAAGTACTAGTCAGAGCAATCAGGCAAGAAAAAAATGAAAGGTATCAGACCTGAAAAAGAAGAAGTAAAATTGCCTCTATTTGAATATTTATACCTAAAAATCCTAAAAACTCCATCCAAAAAAAACCATTAGATCTAATCCACAAATTCAGATGCTGTAAAATTAACACGCAAAAATCACTAACATTTCTATACACTAACAAGAAATTATCTTACAACAGCATCAAAAACAATAAAATATACTTAGGAATAAATTTAACTTAGGAGATGAAAGATCTCTATACAAAAACTACAAGACACTGATGAAAGGAATCTGAAGAAGACACAAATAAATGGAAAGGTAACCATTATTGGATCTTTTCTTATCCTTCTTTATCAGAAAGGACTGAAAGAACTAATATTGTCCAAATGTTCATAATATCCAAAGCCATCTATAGGTTCAATGCAATTCCTATCAAGATTTCAATAGCATTTTTTTCAGAAACAGAAAAAAAATCTTACAATTTATATAGAATTATTACACACCCTGAATAGACAAGGCAATCCTGACAAAGAACAAACTGGGAGTCCTCACAGTTCTTGATTTCAAGCTATAATTTATGAAACTACAGTCATAAAAATGGTATGGTACAGGCATAAAAAGAGACACATAGACCGATGGGACAGAATTGAGAGCCCAGAAATAAATCCATGCAAACACAGCTAATATTTGACAAGGGAGCCAAGAATACTCAATAGAGAAAAGATAGTATCTTCATTAAACAGTGCCAGGAAAATTGGATATTCACATGTAAAAGAATAAAAGTAGACCCCTCACAAAAATACAGCACTCTCAAAAATAAACTTGAAATGGAGTTAAGACTTAAATTTAAAACCAGAAGCAATAAAACTAGAAGAAAACATAGGAAAAAATCTCCTTTAAATGGGTCTTGGCAATGATATTTTGGATATGGCACTTAAAGCACTAGCAACAAAAGCAAAAATAAACAAGCGGGACTACATCAAACTAAAAAGCTGCTGTAAAGCAAAAGAAACAAGCACCACCACCCGCACCCCCCCCCCCAAAAGGACAACCTATATACTATGAGAAAAAACATTTGCAAACTATATAACTGTTAAGGGACAAATATCCAAAATAAATAAAGAACTCATACAACTAACAGCAAAAAAAAAAAAAACTCAATTTAAAAATGGGCAGAGTACTTAAATACACATTTTTCCAGACTATATATGTATGGCCAATAGGTACATGAAAAGGTAATTAACATCATTAATCATTAGAGAAATGCAAATCAAAACCACAATGAGATATCACCTCATATTTGTTAGAATGGCTATCATCAAAAAGACAAGGGATAATAAATGCTGATAAGGAAGTGAAGAAAGGTATCACTTGTGCACTGTTGTTGGGATTGTGAACTGGTACAGCCACTACAGAAAACAGTATGGAGCTTCCTCAAAAATTAAAAATATAACTACCATACAATCCAGTAATTCTACTTCTGTGACTGTATCTGAAGGAAATGAAACCACTATGTCAATTCGATAACTGCACCCCCATGTTCATGTTAGCATTATTTACAATAGCCAAGACATGAAAACAACTAAGTGTCCATTGACAGATGAATGGATAAAGAAGATGTGTTATATGTGTACAATGGAATATTAGCCATAAAAAGGAGGACATCCTGCATTTATGACAAAATGGCTGGGCCTTAAGGGCATTATGCTAGAAAGGCAAATATTGAATGATCTCACTTACAGGTAGGAAAAAAAAATTCACTGAAAAAGAGAGATTTTCATTATCAGAAGAAGTGGGTAGAGGGACAGGAGAAACTGAATAAAGGTGGTCAAAAGGTACAAACTTCCAGTTATAAGAAAAATAAGTACTAGGGATGTAATGTACAACATGATGACCGTAGTTAACATTACTGTATATGAGATTATATATTAACATTACAGTTATACATTATGGAATATATGCGATTAATAGAGTAAAACATATTCCAGTTATAAGAAAAATAAGTACTAGGGATGTAATGTACAACATGATGACCGTAGTTAACATTACTGTATATGAGATTATATATTAACATTACAGTTATACATTATGGAATATATGCGATTAATAGAGTAAAACATAAGAGTTCTCACAAGGAAAAAAAATTATTTTTTGTATCTATATGAGAGGATGTAAACCAAACTTATTGTGGCAATAATTTCATGATGTATGTCAAATCATTATGTTGTACACTTTAAACTTATACACTGCTGTATGTCAATTATATCTCAATAAAACTGTAAAAATTTGTTCCTAATTTTTGAAAATTGTAATCAGTTTCGTGCCATGCTTAAAACTCACGAATGACTTCCAACATCATTTAGAGAAAAAATGAAGGTGGTTTGCTTACTTCTCTGTGTTTCCCCACTAGACTGTTACTACAATTCTTCTCTGTCTTGGTAAAAATGGGAATACAATCCACTCAATTGCTCAAATCATAAACCTGAGAAGCAACACTATTTCTCCTTTTACTCCTATATACAAAGCCATAACCAAGTCTTATCACTCCTACCTCCAAAATGGGTTTCTAAACTACCTGTGGTCGGTCCATTTTTGGACTTTCACTTATGCTGTTTCCTCTACTTGAAATGCTTTGTTTCCTCCCTAGCGTGGTTAATCAGGTACCAGCTTTGGTCGTAGTTTCCAAGAACCCTCCCCGCCCTTCCAACCCAGCGTAAATGCCACTCTTAGGTATGTTTCCCACTCAAATCCCAAGTCACACTGCAATGCCGCTTGCGCCCTGGGCCATGAGTTCCCTCAGGGATAAAAACATGTCAGTCTTAGTATGCCTTGTACCCTAAACCTGAAACGGTGCTTTGCAAGGAGCGGAGCTCAAGCACGGTTGGTTGAGTGAACTAATGAACAACGCAAGTGATGACAGACTCCACAGGTGCTGAAAGGAGCCAGTTGGGTCTAAGGGCGCGCTGTGGGAAGAGCCACAGGCTTGAGAGGTACGTGGTCCGCCTGGTTCTCGCCTATCAGAACAGGCTCCAGGTCTCCCAGGAGGCCGCCCCGGAGGAATGCCCGGGCAGGTAGGTCACTCACCGGCCTCGGAGCCGAGCCGACGGCATGGCAGCCCCACCCCGCAGGGCCTGGGCAACGGCTGGAGCAGGGCGCCGGGCTGGGGCTGAGTTCGGGCCTGGAAACATGCCCGCTCCGTGCCCCGACAGCCTGGCAGGAGGCTCCACAGCGACACAGATACTCTGAGGGTCGCCATGATTACCCAGGGGGTGGGGCTTGTGGGGGGGTCACGCGCCGGAAGCGATTCTGGGTCTACCGCGGTTCACGCAGCATTCTGGGAAATGTAGTCTGAGGCAGGGAGCCGGAAGCGCCGCAACCTCCGAGTCATTGATTATTTCCTTGCAAACTGTTCACCAGTGCTTAAAACTAACGGTGAAACTTACGCTATGGTCCCTATATGCTCGTTTTCCTGGAACTTTCCTTCATTTCCATGTTTCTAAATAACAAATTTCTATTTCCTGCCAGAACCCCTTCACCCAGCTCAGGGTTTAAATCCAACTTCCCGTCAACTTCCCCATTGAAAGCTTTCAGACTCACCTCCTTCATCCTCCCACCCCCGCCCCAAGTGTACCTCCTGGTTCCAGGCCTGATCGCCACCACCACTGTCATCCCCCATCAACTTACACGCCTTTTCTTCATGGCCCTTCTCTCAATTTGTGATTATTTTGTTCATTATCTACTTAAAACTTTTTCTCACCCCATAAAGACAATGACTTTATATATAACAATATTTAGCCTGGCACATCTTCCTGCACAGCAAATATTTATTAAATAAATGATTGAGTGATCCTGTTATTTTTTTCCCCAGCTGTCCAGGATGTGCAGGTTTCATTCTTCCCTAGACTATAAGTTGGTGCTTGTGCTACTAACTTATCCCAAGGCCTGACTAAAGAAGGGTGTGAAGTAAATACTTGTTTTAATTAGCTGGACTCATCTAACCTCCTTCTTTTCCCCCACTGCCCATTAGGAGCTCTGTTTACAGACTCATTCTCTATTTGGGTGGGGAAGGAGAGAGCCCCACCAAGGCTTGGTGCTGCACTCAGGCATTACTGCTGCCCTGTGCTTCCTAGTACTTCCTCTCACACCTACATGATAACAGGTGACAGGGAGTGGGTGTGGTTTGCATGCAAGTGTCTCCCAGCCTGTGCCCTTTCTCTGAGAATCCATGGCCTACTTCTTTCCCATAGCCACTGTTGAGGGACTAGGCCTCAATGGCTGTGTTTTTCTTATTAACACCCCTCCTGGACAAAAGTGATGGAACAGTAAGTGGATGTGCCTAATGCAGAAAGAAAGAATCCATTGTCTGCTGTTATTAGTTCCCAAATTACAGCAAATTTGGTGGCTTAAAACAATGGCAATTTATTCTCTCACAGTTCTCGATGCTAGTAATTTGAAATCAGTGTCACTGGGCTGAAATCAAAGTTATCAGCAGAGCTGTACTCCCCTGTCAGAAGCTCTAGAGAATAATCTGCTCCTTGTTTCTTCCAGCTCCTGGTGACTGCAAGCATTCCCTGGCTTATGGTTGCATCCTTCCAATTTCTGCCTCCCATCTTCACATAACCTTGTCTTCTATCTGTGCCCAATCTGCCTTTGCCTCACTATAATAAGGATATATATGATTGCATTTAGCACCTGCCCTGATAATTCAGGGTAATCTCCCCATCTTAAACTCCTTAACTTAATCACTTCTGCAAAGATCCTGTTTCCATATAAGGATCCACTCACAGGTTCCAGGGATTAGGGGGTAGATATCTTTGGAGGAGCATGGACATTTTTCAGCCAACCCCAGCTGAAAAGCTTGGTCCAGCCACCAGATTTTCTCAATATTCCAAATTCAGACATGTGGAAAATATAATTGATAGTTGAAGTTTGAAATAAATAACTATTTATAAGTTTGAAGCAGACTTTTCCAACAATATGCTCATTGATGAGTGAGCAGAGAAAGCCAGTCCACAGAGAAAGACAGGAAAATGGAGCAGACTATGTGGTTTCAGAAAGAGAGAAATGGAGACAGGTGCTATCTTGCCTAGAGACCTTCCCACTTTCCTTTCATTAAACTCCTTTACTTGGGCTACTCTAAGTATTACTACATCATAACCAACTAACCAAGATTCCTAGTTTCAACTGTAACCTTAGGCAAATACCCACATATTTCAGAGCCTCAGTTCTTCACCTGAAAAATGGGTATAGCAATAATACTCATCTTCAAGATTTTGAGGTTAAAGTTTGTCTTGCCAATTGGTTTCATCTTCAAGACTTTGAGGTTAAAGCATGTCTTGCCAATGGATTTCAGCCCCAGGAAAGTTGACTATGGATTCAATGAGACTGAAAAATGACAGTGGAACGTTCTTGGGGTGGAAGTGTTCATATCCAACTTTATTCCCATGGTGGCAGGTCAAGCACTAGAACCCCCTCCATTCAGAGCAAGTCTGCATGTAGCAAACTGATCTCTGCCTCGGGGCCTCTCTGCCCCCACAGCATCTCAGTCTCTGTCCTCAGGGCTGCCATCACTCCAGTCTCTGCTCTCCTGCAGCCTTTCAAACCTGTAGCTGTGCAGAAGCCCAGAACACTGGGCAGAGCTCTTTATATAGGGTCAAGAACAACATATTGCCCACACGTGTGTAAGTGAGCAAGCCAACCAGGGCCAGGTGAGAAACCTGGCCATAGGAACCTTCATTTTCTCCACACTCCACCCCTCTAGGATTCCTGCCTCTCAGTCTATGTGCCCTCATCTTCTGCAATGGTCCCTGTACAAGGAACGTGAAACATTGTAACCAAATTCCATAATAACAACAGAAGCTATGGCAATATATAAATAACAAAAATTACAATAAATTATATCAACTCCCAAGCCTGAGAAGGTCATGGAGTGGTCATCTGGCTGTATTCAAACCAGTTCTTCTTAAATGAGTTAGCCAAAAGGACCATGGGTGGGCCTTACAATACCCACCTTCTCCAGCCTCTCCAGCAGAAAGTCCTGCAGACACACAGGCCGATCTTGCTGCTTTGTCTCTGGCTTCTGCTTTGTCCTCAGCGGCTGGACCCGCTGCTCCAGTTTCAATTGTTGCCACAGCTCCAGTAAGAGTCTATTTGACTTTCCATCCAATTTCTGTCTGTCTGCTCCTGCCTTTAGCAAATCAACCCACACCTGGGTCCTTGTGACCTTCACAGGGCCCTTTAAATTCTTCCTTTGAGAAGCAGACTATATTTCCTTTTGTGCTTTCATTGCCTGAGCCTGAGGATAGGAGCAGAGCATAGAGTGCTCCAGAACCTGGGGAGGGGGCTGCACCCCTACTAGAGGAACCTGTGGTTGCTGGGTCTTTATTTCCTTTTGGGCTTTCCACCAACATTCAGCCAGGTGGGGTTTCAACCAAGGAGGAGAAGCTGCCTCCCGCACTGGCAGAGCCTTCACCCCCACCTGTTTGTCAAACCTCCGCTCCTCCATTTCTGGGGCTGAAGGCTCCACTGCACCCTTCACCTGCCCCAGGGCACCTGGCAGTCTGCACTCTTGGGCTGCTGCTTCTTCGGCTACTTCTTCTCCAGCGGCCATTTCTGAGGTTACCATGACATCCTTTACCATTTCCACCGCACCTCATAGTGATGCCATTTCAGTCAACAACAAATTTTTTACCTCCTCAACGGCACCTCACAGCTTGTGTTCTCATGCTGCCTCTTCTTGTGCTTCCTGCAGGAGGATATCTTTCTCCTTTATGGCCTTTCTCAGTATTGTGAGAATAAAATTCCCCACCATTCCCGTGGCCTCATGGGCACTCTGTTTCTCTAAGGAATTCCCTATTTTGCTGAGGGCCGACTTTACTGCCTCAGGTGTTGCCTCCATCCCTTCCCAGTCCTGGGGTGGGGCGCAGTCCTCTAGGAGGCAAGCCGTGGTAGATCATACGTCCACTGGGGGACACTCGAATGTCTCACCATCCACAGGTGCAGCCTGCTGAAGTACCCCTCCCATGAGGGCAACTGTTCTGGTCCTTGGTCAACAATGTATCCTGCCAACATTGCCAACTGTCTTGCCAATGGGTTTCAGCCCCGGGCAAGTTCACTATGGATTCAGTGAGACCAAAAAATGACAATGCAACATTCGTGGAGTGAAACTGTTTATACCCAACTTTATTCCCACAGTGGCAGGTCAATCACTGATATCCCATCCACTCAGAACAAGCCTGCATGTAGCAAGCTAATTTCTGCCTCATGCCTCTCTGCCCCCGCAGCCATCTCAGTCTCTGTCCTCAGCACTGGTGCCACTCATCTCTGCTCTCCTGCAGCCTTTATGTAGAGTCAATAACAACATATTGCCCACACATGTGTAATGAGCAAGCCGACCAGGGCCAGGTGAGAATCCTAGCCATAGGAACCTTCACTTTCCCCACAAAGTTCTTTTAGGAATTGACACCTGGTGTTTTGTAAAGGGGGTGCAAGAAGGTCATGTGGTAGCAAGTCAGTGGCTTTCTTAAGATCTTCAGAAGGACTTAGAAACATATGTTTATCAGTTAAGATTCTCTTGATTGCATGCTGCAGAAATATTTCCTGACTAAAAACAGATGGAAGTAATGGCAAGGATGTTGAGTATCTCAGAGTTAAAGGGAAAGCTGAATAGACAAGCCTCAGAAAGGGCTTGAAAGACTGAAACTCTGGAATCCCCAATGGCAGGGACTCAAGAAAAATCTCTCCAGGGAGATGCTATCAGAATGGCTTGGTTCAACTATATGATTTCCATCAAATTCAAGTTCCTGGTGAGAGAAGCTGATAAGCCTGGATGGGGTCCTATTCAGCCCTGGGTAATGGGGAGAACTGGCCTTCTGTCTGACAGTCCCAAGACACCCTTTCTACCTGTAGTGGTAGGATTCATAGGGTCAAATCTGGGAGAGAAATCACCAGCTCTAAGGAGAAAGAATGAGTCTTATTATTTGTACAACAAAAGTATAGTGACATTTCAGTATAGCTGAAATGTCAGTGATTTTACAGGGTCTTAACTTTTCATTGTTTTCCTAAAGGGACTGGGATTTTGCCCTGGGCTTTTAGAATTCTTCAAGATGAGGATGTGGGAGTAGAAGTCAAGGAGAGGGATGGAGAGGGAAGGAAGGAGCTAAGGAAGAAGAGTGACAATCTGAGCAATCCAAAACTCCTTGCAAACTCTAGCAACACCCTTGCAAATTCTATGTAGTCTTCAAAACTCTATCTTTGAAGCCTTCCCCAGAGACC